TGTGTCCCCAACCCTCGAGACAACCCCCCATGGCCACCCAGCAACACCGCTGTGTCCCCAACACCTCGGAGAAAACCCCCAGGCCCCACCCAGCAACACCGCTGTGTCCCAACACTCGGAGACAACCCCCAGGCCCACCCAGCAACACAGCTGTGTCCCCAACACCTCGGAGACAACCCCCCAGCCCCCCAGCAACACCGCTGTGTCCCCAACACCTCGGAAACAACCCCCCCAGGCCCACCCATCACCATCGCTGTGTCCCCAACACCTCGGAGACAACCCCCCAGGCCCACCCAGCAACACCGCTGTGTCCCAACAACCTCGGAGACAACCCCCAGGCCCACCCAGCAACACCGCTGTGTCCCCAACACCTCGGAGACAACCCCCCAGGCCCACCCAGCAACACACGCTGGTCCCCAACGCCTCGGAGACAACTCCCCCAGGCCCACCCAGCAACACCGCTGTGTCCCCAACACCTCGGAGACAACCCCCCCAGGCCCACCCAGCAACACCGCTGTGTCCCCAACGCCTCGGAGACAACCCCCCAGGCCCACCCAGCAACACCGCTGTGTCCCCAACGCCTCGGAGACAACCCCCCAGGCCCACCCAGCAACACCGCTGTGTCCCCAAGGCCTCGGAGACAACCCCCCAGGCCCACCCAGCAACACCGCTGTGTCCCCAAGGCCTCGGAGACAATCCCCCAGGCCCACCCAGCAACACCGCTGTGTCCCCAAGGCCTTGGAGACAACCCCCCAGGCCCACCCAGCGCCATCGCTGTGTCTTCCCCAGGGACGATTCATTTCCTTCTAGAATAACCATTCTCCTACCCCCACACCCCACTCCCCTCCTTTCACCATCTAGTGGGAACCATGAGCCACAGGGTCCTCTCAACTCCGGCAGACAGCGAGCCCCCTGCAGACCAGCGGCTGCCTGCCGAGTACTTCACACCCCGCGGTGAAGAGAAGCACCACACCGTGAGAAGTCCAGGTCACAGGACGGCGGAGCCGGGACGCTCGGTAAGGCCCCGCCTCCGCACAGGCCCCGGTCACCCACAGCCTCTCCAGTGTGCGCCAGACTCTGACCGGGAGAGGAGGGAGCAGGCCACAGTCAGGGCTGCATACCTGGTGCGCACAGCGCCGCGGCGGCGGGCTGGGGATGTCCACTTTGGTCCAGGTGTCCTTCCTGGTATTGTAGACATAGAGCTCGTTGTACAGCAACGTCTGCAAGGAGGAGAGCAGCGTTAGCGTCTGAATGACGTCCTTCCAGGCCGCGGCAGGAACAACCGCGGTGGTTCCCGTTCCCGGGCAACGTAAGTCACGCACAGCAGGAGGCCAGCAGCTGGTCCCCGGACAGCTGGGTGTGACAAGGTCACGTCCCACAAACCCACCACAGCTCCAACCATTCTAGGTCAAAAGTGCACTTAGTACACCTGACGCGTCCCAAGCGTCCTAGCTCAGCCCAGCCCACCCCGCGTGTGCTCAGAGCCCTCACCTTAGCCCGCAGCGGGGCAGACTCACAGCCCACTTTGTGACTTACTGACGACTATCTCACCCCACTTACCAGGCACCGTACCGAAAGTGAGCCAACAACGCGGTCTAGCGCTCCCCCCGCACGTGCAGTGCTCAGGTGTCTAACCCATCCAACCCACAGCACTGCCCGACACGCCTGGTACCCCACCCAGCCCACGCCACTGCCCAACACGCCTGGTACCCCACCCAGCCCACGCCACTGCCCGACACGCCTGGTAGCCCACCCAGCCCACGGCACTGCCCGACACGCCTGGTAACCCCCATGACACCGGGCGTCTGGGATACTGGGTGAGATTCGCCGTTCTCCTAATTCAGGCCTCAGTTTTGAAGCATGAAAACCCAGAGCCGATCAATGAAGTCGAACGCACGGGGTCCCCACAGACTCGTGTGACGAGGCCGTCTCACACACAACTCAGAAGCGTGGGGCTTTCTGGGCTGCTTGACACAACAGGACCCTCCCCCCCCCCCCCCCAGCCAGCACACTCTTCTACAGGACCCTGAAGGCTGGCTGTGAAACCTGAAGACCCACCGGGGGGCTGCGCAGCGCGAGGGAGAGGAAGCAAGACCCTTCCACACCAGCGCCAGCGCCAGCACAGGCACTGGGTCCCCAGGCGAGGACAGCGCGTCACAAAGGCCTGATGCGCTCGGTGTGGCCCGCTGTCTCAAGCCAGCTCGCCTCGAATGAGGCCCAGGAACACTGGGAAGAATGGGAAGAAAAGGCAGGGGCGGTGTCGTGGCACCGCACGTTCTCCCACAGCAGGCGGCCCATGCTGGAGGGTTGGTTCAAGCCACAGCTGCTCCACTCTGACCCAGCTTCCTGCTAATGCACCTGGGAGGCGGTGACAACGGCGCGAACACCGGAGTCCCTGCCACCCACGTGCAAGACCCAGATGGGAGGTCCTGGCTCCTGGCTTGGCCCAGGCTCAGCTGTGTGGGCATTTGGGGTGAAAAACAGATGGACGATCTCTCTCTCTCTCTCTCTCTCTCTCTCTGCACTTCCCTCCTTCCCAACCCCCCTTCCCTCTCCCCTTCTCTCTGTATCTCCTCCATCATTCTGCCTTTCCAATAAGTCAGTCTTAAACCAAAATTTAAAAGAAAGAAAAACATATATACTTTACTTTTTGGCCATTGAAATATTCACCTCCGAACAGGATCAATTCATCTTTCTCAGGATGAGCAGACAGAGAGGCATTCAACCTGGGGGGACAGCACACCAGCACCAAATCAGACCCTTCGCTACTCTGAACAAGATCTGGCCTCCAAACTCATGCAGTTTTATTTTTTGCGGTTTTAGAAAGAGGCCAAAGTACCTGTATATTTAATAACTTCTTGACATGGTAAAAGAATTCCACACTACGGCCCACGGGTGGCAGAGTGAGGAAGGGCAGCGGGACAACCCGCGGAAGGCGAGACACGTCAGGCAGACATCCAGAGCCCAGTCCTAAGTTAACGTCACACACAGGGCGGAAACTAATCCATCACGGGCTCCAGGAGGCGGGGCCTAGCAGGAGGCCCTTCAGGCACCAGGCCAGAGTCCGGAAGGCAGTTCCCACAAAGAGGCCTGGTTATGAAGGCCAGGGCCAGACCAGTGGCTCTCCTCCTGCTGTGTCCCACACTACCACCGGCACCCTCAACAGGGCCAAACCAGTGGGACTGCCCGATCTTGGACCTGGAGCTCTGAAACTGCGAGCCGAATGAACCTGTCCTCCCTGTAAACTTCCTTTTTCAGGTACTCCCCGGCAGTGACAACGCTGACCACTGCGACACCGGCTCCCACCTGGCAGGCCTCCAGGGACTTGCAGCCTCCAGGCTTGTGCGGGAAGGGGCGAGGGTGCCGGCTCCCTCCCACACAGGTGTCCGGCTCCTGCACTGCTGGCCAGCTCACACTCCCAGGACAGCCCTGGCTCCACAGACCAGGACCAGGCTGCGCACAGCAACGATGCCCCTCACACCCACACTCTCCAAAGCTGTCCTCTGATGTCACCACCAGCACTGTTTTAAGATTTATTTATTTATTTGAAAGTCGGGGTTACACACACAGAGAGAAGGACAGGCAGAGGCAGAGAGAGAGAGGTCTTCCATCTGCTGGATCACTCCCCAGTTGGCCACAATGGCTAGAACTGCGCCAATCCGAAGCCAGAAGATTCTTCTGGGTCTCCCACACAAGTACAGGGGCCCAAGGACTTGGGCCACCTTCTACTGCTTTCCCAGGCCATAGCAGAGAGCCGGATTACAAGAGGAGCAGCCGAGACTCAAGCCAGTGCCCACATGGGATGCTGGCACTGCAGGTGGTGGCTCTACACACTATGCCACAGTGCCAGTCCCAGCACGGTTCTCAAACCAGTGTAGGCATTTTAGTCGACATCCCAGCAACCTTCCAACCACACACGACAACAGCACAGCAGTGAGGCCAACTGTAGATACACTGGCACACAACGACAAGGGACACACTGCCAGCCTTCTCCAAGTCCTCCACAGTGGTGTTCCCCACGCCTGTTCCCAGACACGCATCCCAGACCTCACTGCACGGCTCACCTTCTTGAAGCACGTTTCAAGGTCAGGGAACCTTGGAAGCCTTGGAAGCCTGAGAACTCTTCTCCTAGGGGTTTACTGTGCACAGACATTTCTCAGGCTGAGAAACGTGCCTGTGAACAGGTGAGTGAGCGGGCGGTGGCGATCTCACAGCCACGGGACAGAGGAGCCGAGCCCATCACACCAGTGGTGCACCCGAGACACACTCAGAGCTGAGAAGCCAGACCCTAAAGGACAAACGCTGTGTGCAGCAGTTCACAGGGACAGGAAGACTAGAGTGGGGGCGGGTGTGACAAACCCGCGGGCACCAGGTCACTACTATTCGGGGCATCGGAGAAGTCTGGAAACGCGGCACAGCGCTGGCTGCACAGCACTGCCAGCTCAGTAACCCACCATCAGTGACCCGGTTTAAAACAGCCACAATGGCTACCCTCTTCAGAAGAAAGTGTTTCCCACACTCCTCCATCACCAGACTTTTCCTTAGCAAACATCTACTGATTCTTGGTGGGAAACCACACGAGGCCCTGCACAGGTGTCTTCATACTCCGGTCTCTCAGAGCAGGCAGGGGACTGCCTGCAATGGCCTCACTTCCCAGACAACTACACCTGGGCCAACACCTGGGAATTCGCACACCCACAAATGGCTAACTTCTAAGGCTTCTCCATAGCATTATTGAAGAGGTGGAGTCAGACGTTAGTGAGCACCATGCACCGGCTCCTCCCACCCAGAAGCACCCCAGCCAAGCCAGGGAACAGCCAGTTACGTCCTGATGCAACATGGGACTTCTGGGCAATGCTGCTTTAGAAGTCCTACAGTATCAACCTCACCCCACCCCCTAAAAAAATCCCCATTCAAAGCAGCTCTCCTCAGGAGGGCCAGGGCACACCAAGCTTGAAGCCTCCAAAGGCTAAGCTGCCACCTGCAATGCTGGCATCCCCTATGGAACGCTTCTTTGAGACCAGCTGCCCAGACAGTAGCTCAAGTGCTGGGGCCGGCGCTGTGGCGAGCAGGTAAGGCCGCCGCCTGCAGGGCTGGCATCCCATAGGGGTGCCTGGTTTGAGTCCCGGCTGCTCCACTTCCGACCCAGCTCTCTGCTGTGGCCTGGGAAAGCAGTGGAAGATGGTCCAAGTGCTTGGGCCCCTGCACCCACGTGGGAGACCCGGAGGAAGCTCCTGGCTCCTGGTTTCGGATCAGCACAGCTACAGCTGTTGTGGCCATCTGGGGAGAGAACCAGCAGATGGAAGACAGACAGACAGACAGACAGACAGACCTCCCTCCCTCCCTCCCCTCTCTCTCGCTCTCTGCCTCTCCTTCTCTCTGTAACTCTTTCAAGTAAATAAGTAAGTCTTTTTAAAAAAAAAATAGTTCAAGTGCTTGGGCCCCTGCCACCCAACCAGGAGAACTGGATGCAGTTTCTGGCTCCTGGCTTCAGCCGGGCCCTGCCCTGCCTATTGAGGCCATTTGGGGAGTGAATGAGCAGATGGAAAGTCTCTCTCCCCCTGTGTGCGTATGTGTCTCTCTCTCTCCCCCTCTCTTCCCAACTCCACCCGCCCCCCCGCACCTCCCTGTCCAATGCTCTGCCTTTCAAATGAGTATCTTTTCAAACACATGCATAGGGGCCGGGGCTGTGTCTTAGCAGGTAAGGCCACCGCCTGCAGGGCCAGCATCCCATACGGATGCTGGTTCGAGTCCTGGCTGCTCCACTTCCGATCCAGCTCTCTGCTGTGGCCTGGGAAAGCAGTAGAAGATGGCCCAGGTCCTTGGGCCCCTGCAGCCGCAAGGGAGACCTGCAAGAAACTCCTGGCTCCTGGCTTCGGCTCAGCATAGCTCCGGCCATTGTGGCCATCTGGGAGTGAACTAGCAGATGGAAAATCTCTCTCCCTCTCTCTCTCTCTGCCTCTCTGTAATTCTGCCTTTCAAATAAGTAAATCTTTTAAAAATCAATCAATAAATAAATGGGTCATCAGGGTCCATGGTAAGAAGTTGGCTGAGCAATAAGTTGTATATATACAAGAGGGGGAGGGGTATGTACAGCACGGTCACAGCACGGTGGAACGTGTGAGGCCCAGAGACAGCCTGTCAACCCAAGGGAAAAACAGCCCAACTCGCAGTGTCATCTCAGGGGAATACACTCTTTTCCCTCTTCACACGCGGCTTAACCAGAGTTAACTGCAGACTTCGTGACTGATCAGACGCAAGCAAACTCCACAGACAGGTAACGCTCAAGAATTCCAGGGACTACAGGCAAACAGCTAGACCTGCAAGCCCCAGACAAGGAGACCACCAAGTCCGAGGAGCCTGATGCCCAAGGGACCACCGCCGGTCAGGATCTTCAGTCAGCGGCTCTAACAGTCAGGCCTCAGGTCACGGAGCCACCATCTGCTCAGCTGGGAGCTGATTCACCCAAAAACCAACAAAGCCCATGAGCCTCCCCAGCCCCCACAGCGGCCCCTCCCTCCTCTAAGTCCGCTGTACCCTGCAAACCCGGAAAAGCGCCTAGGAGACAAGTTCCCCTTTGCCCCAGGACCGCCAGCCCCGTGAGTAAAGCCCATCTCCTTGCACCAGCTCTAGTCCCTGGGAGCCGGAACTCCAGACAGACAGGAGGCCTGACGGGCAGGAAGCTGCTCAGAGGCCGCCCCCGCCCTCCTGGGTCTGAAGGGGGGGGGGGGGGTCTGGCCCTGCGCTGTCGGCGCTAGGTCCCAGGCCTCCCCAGGCTGGGACAGCGCTTTCAGTCCATTCTGAGAGACGTGAAACAAAACACTTCAGCTATACCACAGGCCCAGCTCGGAACGACGCAGTCTCCGCACTCCTCTCTGGGCTCCCACCCTGACCTCTCGACTCAGAGTCCCAAATCTAAGAATCACGCAGCCCTGAATCCAGACGTGCAGCACTCAGGACTCCCAGGCCGCGCAGCTCCGCTCCTTCCACGGCGCCTGAAATCCTGCACACCTGTAACTCGTCCACCTAATTCACAAATGCATCTACAGCGGCTTAACTTCCAGACAACAATAAAAAAATTAAGAAGCAACAGGACAGAGAGGCACGGTATTCTTCAGATTGTCACCTGCAAGGCCCACCTGTAAGATACGTTCAGGACCCAGGCGCCGCCCCAGGACAGTCGCCCACGGCGGTGCCCCGGAGGCCTCTCCCGCCGGCACTGGCCCTGTCTCCAGCTCCACAGCCTCCACAGGTTTGCAAGAGCGAAAACGTCCCAGGTGCCTGATGGTCACAAAACCACCGTGCTGATTTAAGGCACTTTCCAATTTGCAGTCCAAACGCTAACACAGGAAACTCGCCAGCTTACCGTGGTGAGGGCGGGGGGCACGGCGTCTCCACGACCTGGGTCTTCCTGGCGTCCAGAGTCTGGAAGTGGGCGATGAGGGCCTCCAGGTCTTCCTGCGGACACAGCGGGCCACACGTGAGGCTGGGGAGACTGCTCAGCTTCCTTCCTGGTCGCTCTGTCAGGGGCGTGGCCTCCCCCAGAACCCTAACCGCTCTGCCTGTTTGACACATGTGATGGTAACACCCAGGCCCCGCAGAGCGGACCTGAGGCAGCCTCCTGGGCGGCGTGGATGCCTGTGGTCCTCAGGACCACTTCACCCCAGCTCGGGCCCTCACGCACCTCGCTCCTGGTGCGGGAACACCCCCTGCTCACGCTCCAGAACCCCCCAGGCTCCCAGGCCAGCCTGCATCTGGTCTGCCCAGCAGGGTCTGCTGTTTCTCGTGTGCATTTGCATAAACCCCCTCCCAGAAGAGAGCATCGGCTCTGGGAACAAAGTCTGCCCAGCGGGGCCCGGCAGGCATCGGCAGGGTCCCCCCGGGGGAGGAGGTCTCCGCGGTACAACCCTGCAGCCGACTCGGGAGTTAGGGTGAATGCCCACGGGGCTGGCCAGCCCTGGAACCCAGTCTTCACTCTGGTGAAAGGGGGATGCGGCGGGAGGAAGGGGCACTGGTCAGAAAGGAGCAGCTGCAGCAGCCCTGGGTGCGGCTGGCATTACTGCCACCAGGCTAAGGCCATCCCCACGGGGCCAACCCAGCGCACAAGGGTGCTTCCATGTCTCCTGTTGGGAGCGGGCTCCGTCAGAATGTTCTAGACACTGGGCTGCAAACACACAGGTGCAGGAGGCGCACAGCCTGGCAGGAGCGCAGGTTCCACCTCCGCCTCCTCCACTCCTTGCCCACGCGGCAGCAGCCACTGCCCCCGTCTTGCCGAGGAACACTCACCTGGGCCCACACCTGGCACTCCAAGGCAGCACCGCTTCCCCTGGGCCCACACCCGGCACTCTAAGGCAGCACCGCTTCCCCTGGGCCCACACCCGGCACTCTAAGGCAGCACCGCTTCACCCGAGGGCCCCACGAGCACTGGGTTGGGGGAGACAGAGGTGGGGTCTGGGGGACTCAAGTGGCCCTGTCAGTGACAGTCTCCCCAAGGCAACAAGGAGCCGACAGGCAGAGAGGTAAGGCCACAGCGTCCGGAGACCTGGGAGAAAGGCAGTGTGGCTGGAGCGGGGAGCCGGGCGGCCGGGGAGCCGGGCAGAGGCCAGCACAGTGGCAGTGCCGACCAGGAGAGCCGACACAGGATTCTGGGGCAGGATTCCAAGCCGTCTGCAGGACCCCCGTTCCCGATGACCCCTGGCCTGTGACAGGACGGGAGATCACCGCTGTGGCTGCTTACAGGACACACACGGCCAGTGATCTTAAGGGTGGTTTTGAGGATGAACAGAGGTGATGAGCAAGGTCCCGGACCCACAGGCTCTCTCCCGGGAAGCAACTCCCAGGGTCGCTGAACGCCGGGCACCCCAGGGGACAGTGGAGAGCAGCGACCGTCACCAGCTCCTTCCTGACCGCCTGCTTCGTGCCAAGCACTGTGCTGCAGACGCCACACAGCTGAACCCACTTCCTGCGCCTCGGAGGCCGGCAGCCAGCTGCGGCGGAGTGGATTCGAACCCAGGCCCTCGAGGGGCAGAGCCCGTGCACTTGGCTGCTCAGGAAGCTGACAGCGTCGAGCCGGCCCCACGATGTGACTGGGGGGGACAGAAAGGCCTCGGAAACGCTCAGCACCGGGCGCGTGTGGTCACTCGAGGCGGTGTGACGCTCTGGCCTCTGACCTCCCGTCCGGCGGAGACATCAACACGGCACGATTCCCTGGGCGGCGAGGACGGCGGCCCGCGGGGCACCCCGCACGCGCTCCCGATTCTCAGAGGAGCCCTGAGCAGCAGGCGGCAGCAGGCAGCACGCTCGGCGCAGGTGCGCCCGGGGGGACGGACACCCCCACCGCGGCGGTCACCAACTCCAGCAGTTCCAGCGGCTCCCTCTGCCTCTTCACCCCCGGGAGCGCTCTGTGCCGGGACTTCTCGGCAGCCGAAACGGCCTCACTCGCGGGCCACGCAGCTTGCAGAGGCGCTGGGGAGGGGGAGCGGGCAGGCGAGAACGGCCTGGACCCCCCAAGGGCCGGCACCCTAGCGTCCAGGGCGGGGAAGGGAGGCCAGGCACGCGCGGGGTCCCGGGAGGGGGCGCCGGGCCGGACAGCGGCCTTCGCCCGCCCCGCGAGGCCGGTGCGACCCCCGCCTGCGGCCCCCGGAGGGCTGTGTCCGCACCCGGCCCGCTCACCTCCTCCTTCCGCGAGCGCTTGGACACTTTCTTCTCCATCTTGGCGGCCGTCTTCTCCGCACCGCGGCCCTTCTTCTCCTTCTTGCCCTTCTTGCCCATCGCGCCGGGTCCGAGGCGGCTCCAGCCACCAAGAAACTAGCAAAAGCGCGGCCGCCCGAAGCTGGCGCTCCCCGGACGGCGCGGCGCGCTGAATGCGCGTCACTTCCGGCACGCCCCCTGGCCGCTTCCGGGCGAGGGTTGGGCGGGGCGAGAGGCCTGGGGCTTCGGGGGCGTGGTCTGTGCGCTCCGCCCGCGCCCGCCTTCTCCCGCCCTCCGCGGCCCGTGGCCGTTCGCTGCGTGGAAGGACTCGGGCTCAGCGCACTGCTCGTCCCCGCGAGGATTTTCACGCCCGCAGCCCCCGCCTTCTGACAGCCGCTTCCGCCAGCCGTGAGCACACGTGCGGGGCACGCTGGCCGCGGCGGGGAAGACGCGCGCTGGGCCCCCGGAGGGGCGGCGGCTGCGGTCCTGGGGCCCCGCCGCCCTGTGGGCGACCTGGAGGGAGCGCCTGGCTCCCGGCGCGGCCCGGCCTTGGGGTGTCGGGGTGAACCGGCGTGGCGGCGCCGTCTCCCCACTCTGTAATGAAGCGCGGGTGGCGGACAGTCAGGTGCCGGGGCCGCGGGTCCTGCACTACACGCAGACGCACCCCTGCCCCCCGCGACTGCGCTCAGGCCCCCCGCTTCTCCGAGGGCGCTGGCCCGTCGCGGGGGGAAGTGGGACCCGAGTGCGCTCCAGCCGTGCGGCGAACGACTGCCGCGCCCGGACACTTCCCGGCTCAGCGGGGAAAGCTGCCACCTGCGGTGCTGGCATCCCACATGTGCGCTGGTTCGAGTCCTGGCTGCTCCACTTCCGACCGAGCTCTCTGCTGTGGCCTGGGAAAGCAGTAGAAGATGGTCCAAGTCCTCGGGCCCCTGTACCCTTGTTGGAGGCCTGGAAGAAGCTCCTGGCTTCAGATCGGCCCAGCTCCGGCCGTTAGAGCCAACTGGGGAGTGAACCAGCGGATGGAAGATTCTCTCTCTCTCTCTCTCTCTCTCTCTGTGTGTGTGTGTGTGTGTAACTCTGACTTTCAAGTAAATAAATAAAGCTTTCAAAAAAAGAAATGTCGGGGTGAAGGTGTTTGGTATTACTTAGAAGACGTCATCACGGACCTGGGAAGTGATGGGAAGGAAGAGAACTGGAACAAGGCCCAGAGGTGGCGGGAGACAGAACCAGTTTGGATCTGATCGTGCGGGAGCGGGAGGGTTGCCCGCGCGTGATAAGCTCCGGGAGACCGAGTTCTCACGGTGCCCCCAGGAAATAATTACATTCCATCTCCCGGGCTGTGAGCTGAGGAGCACGGCTAATCCTGCCACGCTCTTTCCTGGCCATCCCGAGAGGCCTGGGCACGATGGCCCTGGAGCCACAGCCAAGTGCGGCCCCTCCGAGAGGCTGGGAGACGGAGGAGCAGGTGCAGGTGCAGGTGCAGGGTTCGCTGCTCTATTACCCACAAGACTCTTGAGGCTGAATTGGAAGGCACTTGGCTTCTCCGTGTCAGGGTGATCCACTGGCGAGGATGGGGATAGAACATCCAGAGTGAACTCTGAAATAGCAAAGCGACTGACTGCAGCGGGTGCTGGGGAAATTCTCGCCTTTGCAACTTTAATGGGATATCTTAAATACAATGTGTCCTTGACTTCCAGGCCGTCTGGCGGGTGAGCTGGCGCCCTCTGCTGCCTCCAAGTTGAAGTTCACAAGAGGAGGGACGTTAGGGATGGCTACGCTGAAGGAAAATCTGTGGGACTGGACGTTCTCGCCAGTGCTCAGGAGGTGCATCCTTGCACGTCTCCGCCGGGGAGGTGAGCAGCAGGCCAGGCCACCTGCGACACAACGAAGCCACTGAGAGCGCAAAGACTGAATGGAAAAGCGGCAAACAAAAATGCTAGAGGTTGGGCACCCGCGCACTGAGGTCGTCATCCTGACCTGGCTGACGGTCGCCTAGCAACCTAGGGACGCTGGCCAGGGGCTGCGTTCGAGGGAGCCGGAGCTGGACCCGGTGCCCTCGGGACTAGTTCAGAACCGGTGCTTCTCCGCTGGTGGGTTTCCAGCTGCGAGGGGAAGCAGCAGGTGCGGTCTCACTGCTCCGCGCTGGGGGCGGCCTCTCCTCCGGGGGTGCTTCGTCAGCTGTGCCGCAGAGAACGCACCGTGCTCCACTCTGGTCCTTGCGAGCTGACTGAGACGTGGCCCCCGGACAGCGAGCCCCGCCGGCGTCTACCTGGGGGAGACGGTCCTGCCGCTGTTCCAGCACCACGGATCCTCACCGCGCGTGTGCTGCCCGTCCACGCACACTCCACAGGGAGGAACACGAGCCGCAGCTAGAGGCTGTCTGCGCACGGCCTGCGCCTGCTGAACATGTGCCTGCCGGGAAGGTGGCACAGAGGGGGAGGGAAGGACGAGGGGACCAGCAGGGACCTGCGGGGGGGCTCATCGCTGGGGAGGGGCTCAAGGGTTGAGGAGGAACTTGCGTTATGGTCCCGAGACTCCACAGGGAGAACCACAATGGCCCTGGGCAGGTGGGGCATCGTCTTGGTGCACACACAGACTTCTTGGCATAATTCAAATAATAAATAAAAGTGCAGAATTTCACGTGTGCCGGCGAGTGTACATGCAAACACCCACAGAAGCCTTGCCACAGAACGGACGCCTCATCCTGCACCTGCCAATCTTTCCTGTCCTCCCGGCCCCTTCCCTGAGTGACCCTGTTTTACCAAACACGAGCACGCAGGACGTGCGCTTTTTCTGGGGGAGTGAGGGGACTTCCTGCACGGAGCCTGCTTCTTCTGAGATTTGCCTCTGACCGTTGCTATGGGACTCCATAGTCCCCGGGGGCTGGCGCTGTGGCGCAGTAGGTTAGTACTCCACCTGCAGTGCCGACATTCCATGCGGGTGCCAGTTCGAGTCCCGGCTGCTCCTCTTCTTGTCCAGCTCTCTGCTATGGCCTGGGAAGGCAGCAGCAGAAGGCCCAGGTGCTCGGGCCCCTGCAGCCATGAGGGAGGCCCGGAGGAAGCTCCTGGCTGATCTCGGATCGGTCCATCGCACCTACATGTAAGGGAATGCTTGTACATACTCAGAAATAAAATACTCAGAAATAAAACGGAATGAATTATTGTTTTTAAAAGATTTATTTATTTACTTGAGAGGCAGAGTTACAGAGAGAGGGCTTCCATGCACTGGTTCACTCCCCAGATGGCCACAAAGGCCCGTATGGGAGGCAGGCGCTGCAGGCTGGGGCTTTAACCCACTGCGCCACAGCGCCGGCCCCTCTTTGCTTTTTAAATGGTAAGCAAGGAGGCAAAGTTGAATGAGGAGAAATACATCTGGTAGACTAGGTGGGTGTCAGGAAAGATCTGCACACAGAGCTTTTGCAGATGTGGGTGTGAGCCCCTCATCCCCCCCCCACCTCCCCCTCTGGGGTGTGGCTGGGGGGGGGCTTCCTGGGTGTGGGATTCCCGAAATTCCTCCCAGAACCTGACAGGTCCCTGGGGGAAAGGAGAGGAAAACCCCTCCAGGCTGCCCCAGGAGAGGGCCCACCTCCCAGTCACTGACAAAAGCAATGCTGGCCGGGCTCAGTTCCACGTTTTTCCTCATTCCGCTGATGTTCCTTTGTGCCCGCGTGCACAGAGACCAACGTCTGCCTCGCGCGTAACATTCCTCTCCCAGAGGAGCGGGGTGGGGTGGGGGGGTCTCCACGTTCCTTCAGACCGGCACGTGGGTTTTCTCGTCTTGCTGACCTGCAGTGTCCGAGGGTGGCCTTGGAGGAGACTGTCCTGTGCCGTCCAGAGGGCTGGGCGAGGGGCTGGCATCCCTGCCCGCTGACCACCTGGAGCTGGACGGCCTGTGTCTGCGGCTCTCATTCTCTCCTGCCTGGCTTTGCCAAATGTCACCCGAGATGGCTGCCCGATGCCCTCGTGCAAGAAGGAATTCTGGCGTGAGACAGGGCAGCAGGAAGCGAGGGAGCAGAGTGAAGGAAGAGAAATGCACCTGCCGGACGGCGGCGGCTCAGGAAAGAACCCAGCGCTCACCCCAGTTTTAGAAGGAAGCGCTGGGTGAGTCCTTGTGGTAGGTGTTAGGAAAAGAGGTGCGCGTCGGTGCCTCCTCACCGGGCTCCAGGATGCCAGGAAAGAAAGAGGCAGATCAGGGGCGCAGCGTACGCGCTCACAGCCTGACCGAACTCGTCCAGAGAAAATAAATCACAGAGGTGGGGGACCAACTGCCCACGTGGACACTGACAGAGACCCCGGCCCCCAGCAGCAGGGCTTTTTTAAGCAGGGCTCGGGATGGGGGTGGGGGTGGGGGCCGCAGGTGGAGGGGAATTCCTGGAACTGGGCGGGGCATTGGGAACCAGGAAAGGAATGCAGGGTGGGGTATGAAGGCGACAGGTGTGAGACCCACCTGAGCTTCCAGGCAAGGAAGACCCTCCCCTCCGGTGTTCATCTTTTGGACAATGAGCTAGAATGGCTGAGGCTTGTGTCCTTGTTCCATCAGTAGGCAAGCTTCTAGCATGCCCCCAGGTCCCGGCCCCCAGTCCACCCGCCCTGTGGTGGCCCTAGGACTCTGTGTGTGATGGATGCCACCAGAATGATTAGGTTAGAGCTTAGACAAAGCCAAGCGTGAGAAAGGGACGTCAACCTCCCTGCACCTGACCCAATCCAGGCGCCTGCACTGTGGCCTGCGCTGTGGCGGAGCAAGTAAAGCCGCTCCCTGCAGGGCCGGCATCCCCTATGGGCACCAGTTCGAGTCCCGGCTGCTCCACTTCTGATCCAGCTCTCTGCTATGGCCTAGGAAAGCAGAAGAAGATGGCCCAAGTTCTTGGAAGTCTCTGGAAGAAGTTCCTGGCTCCTGGCTTCAGATCAGAGCAGCTCCGGCCATTGAGGCCAACTGGGGAGTGAACCAGCAGATGGAAGACCTCTCTCTCTCTCTCTCTCTCTCTCTCTGACTTTCAAATAAATAAATTTTTTAAAGATTTATTTTATTTATTTGAAAGATGGAGTTACCGAGAGAGGTAGAGACCGAGAGAGAGGTCTTCCATCTGCTGGTTTACTCCCCAGATGGCCACAACAGCCGGAGCTGTGCTGATCCAAAGCCAGGAGCTTCTTCCGGGTCTCCCACATGGGTGCAGGGGCCCAAGCACTTGGG